GTAAGCTGGATATATTATATTCAATAGTATTGTTATTAAGTAAGCTGGATATATTATATGCAATAGTATTGTTATTAAGTAATATATTATAAGCAATAATACTTATATAATATTATAATAATGTGGTAGAGGTGTTAGTGGTAAAGCGCTCGCCTAATAAGTGAGTAGTTCTGAGTTTGATCCTCACCACGTCCCTGGTAGTACTGTGCTCAACTTGTTTCTCCGCGCAGCAACCTTGTTTGTCAAGGATCGTGTTTTGGAGTATGTTATGTTGGGTCTCAAAAGAAGCAAAAATTTATTTTTGATTTTAAAATAAAAAATTATTTTCAATTTCACTGCCTGAAAAATTACATTTTTTAACTAAAAATAAAAATATTTCTCAAAGTTTTTTATAAAATGATGATTATTTTTGAAATTTTTATATAATTTTGCTTCTTCAGCATGATATACTTTTAAAGAAACTTTTTTTCAAAACTTTTTTTTATTTCATTATTATTTTTTTATATAGCACACTTACAGATCATTTAGAGGGTGGGAGCAGACATTTTTAAAAAAAGGTTTTGGAACACCCTAATGAAAAAGTAGTGAACATTGTAAACGAAGATGAAAAAAATTTCTATATGCAACTTATGCAGCACGAAACACGAAACATCTATTTAAATGTTTTTGTAGAACAATATTGTATTATGGCACTGACGTTTTTATCTAAACAAGAGTAAAATTCAACAATTTCAAACACTTGAATCAAATATGGCAAAAGGCATTATGGGTATCCATAAAATAACCAGAAGTACGCATTTTTTGGCTGCACTAAAAATAGAACCCACAGGATTAAAAACTGATATTGCCAAGTGTTTCTTGTTTGAAGGAATAATGAGGAGTCACAAGAGAAATAATTCTTTCGATTTATAATGAGATGCATAACATTCCTGTCCATGGTACATATGATAACCTTATAACGCAATTAATAGATATAAAAAAAAGATATAGTATCACGAATGCTCAATGCAATTCAATCAAACTCTACAGTTATGGCCATTGAAATCTGACCACCAGTATCATTTTACTTAAAACTAGTTTAATGTAGTAATAAACAATTGTATTATAGCAATAAAAGAATAACAGTAGCAATTAATGATTATAATGTAACATATCGTACATATTTAATGTTTATATTAATGTTTTTTACTCTCAGGTTCATTGAATTTAATATTTAGTGGCACCACCATGTGCTTTTAAGACTGCATTAATGTGATCTGGCATTGAACCCACGAGAGCCTGACAATATTCTAGCGTTATTTCAGTAATCCAAGCTTGACGAATTTTGTGCGCTAGATCGTCCAGTGATGTAGGATTAGTTCTGGATACTGCTGACTTTAACTTGACCCAGCAATTTTCGATTGGGTTCAAGTCTGGGGATGATCTCGGCAAAGGATTCAGAACCTGAACATTTTGATCCTCTAACCAAGATTTTACAAGACGAGATTGGTGACACGGTGCACCATCATGCTGGAATATCTTGCAACGACGAATTTCCATCAAATTTGGAACCTTTTTTTGAAGGATTTTTAGATATTGTTGGGAGTTAACAGTCTGTCCCTTCTGCATTAAATAAATATCACATCGACCAGATGAAGCTATCACGCCCCACACCATGATCGAAGGACATTGCTTGACAGCTGGTACGGTATACCTTGCATTAAAATGCTGATTAGGGGGACGATGAACTAATGACTTATGCGAAGTGAATTGCTTTATTTGTGTCTCGTTGCTGAACATTACCTGGCGCTATTTGGTTATTGACCAGTGTCTGTGAGCTCTACAAAATATGATCCTATCACGGATGTTCTTTAAAGACAGTCGCGGTTTGAGGGCTGGACGACGAGAACGTAGACCTGCATCTGTCAATAAACGTCTTCTAATTGTTCGAGTACTGACTGTAACGTCATTAGGTAGATCTGCCCTGATTTGTGTGCTGGATATTGTTGGATCTCTCACAGCAGCCCTGCGTATCATATTGTCTGTTTGTTTGCTAGTAATTCTAGCTTTACCAAAACATTTTCTGAGCGCAGTGGATCCCGTGTCTTTGATTAGTTGTATAATATCATAACAGTTGATTTTGGCATTCGCAATCTTGCTGATATCTGACGCTCACTTGCACCATCCTCCCATTAAAGTTTAATATTAGCACGAACACCTTCTTTCGTAGTCATAATTAAATTGTGACAGTTAAATGATAATCCATACCCTACAATGAGATATATAGCTTAATAAATTTTACAGTGCAATAAAATAAACGCTAATGTGATTGGCTAAAAGCTAATTAACTAATTATTGATGTCAGGGAAGAAAATAAATTGATTATTCGCGTGCATAGACTGTTTTTCTTTATATTCAGCAGTGGTCGGATTTCAATGGCCATAACTGTATTATGGCCCTTACGAATCAGTAATGAGAAAAATTATTTTTTCTGCATTTTTTAAAAAATTGATTGACCTTAAGAAAAGCCTAATAATCAAATGCATTCAATTATTTAAATCTGGAATTGCTGAAACAATTAGCTTTTTGCTTTTACAAAAACATATTGGATTCTGGAAAAACAAAAACATTCTTAAATTATTAATTAAAGCGTATAATGATGTTCACTAACTTTTTACCTATAATCAATTTATTTATGCCTTTTGATACAACTACTGTAAATTATTTATTGCCCACAGTGGGGTTATATTCTGAAATAATAATAATAATAATTAATTATTAGTTAAACATTTGGCATACTAGAAAAACATATATATATTTTCAAAAAGAATAAAGTTTATTTATTTAGTAATTTAAATTTGTCCAGATGTGATTTATTCAAGCCATTTGGAAATAAATTTATTTTTGGATGACTTGAATAATGTCTACCATTATTTGTTTATTAAATATCTATATAGGTGACATTTAAATGAACATAGATATTAATAAGGATGACATTAAAATGAAAATAAATTTTTATTTAGATGGCATTGAATTGAAAATAAATATTTATTTAAATTACATTAATATAAAAATAAATTTCTATATAAATGATATAATATTTTATTATTTTTAGAATAGTATATATAATAATTTTATTCTAAAAATGATAAACAAAATATTTTTGTGATTTTTACACAGATCACAATCAATGAAAAACTTTGAACATAATCTTAAGTTTTGCAATGAAAAACTTTGAACATAATCTTAAGTTTTGCAATGAAAAACTTTGAACATAATCTTAAGTTTTGCAATGAAAAACTTTGAACATAATCTTAAGTTTTGCAATGAAAAACTTTGAACATAATCTTAAGTTTTGCAATGAAAAACTTTGAACATAATCTTAAGTTTTGCAATGAAAAACTTTGAACATAATCTTAAGTTTTGCAATGAAAAACTTTGAACATAATCTTAAGTTTTGCAATGAAAAACTTTGAACATAATCTTAAGTTTTGCAATGAAAAACTTTGAACATAATCTTAAGTTTTGCAATGAAAAACTTTGAACATAATCTTAAGTTTTGCAATGAAAAACTTTGAACATAATCTTAAGTTTTGCAATGAAAAACTTTGAACATAATCTTAAGTTTTGCAATGAAAAACTTTGAACATAATCTTAAGTTTTGCAATGAAAAACTTTGAACATAATCTTAATATTGCAGTTTTAACATAATCTTAAGTTTTGCAGTTTTAACATAATCTTAAGTTTTGCAATGAAAAACTTAAATTAAAACATAATTTTAATATTGCAGTTGAAACAAGCTCTTAAATTATATTAGATAGAAATAAATAAAACAGGATTAAATTTAAATGATTGAATAATAGTCAGAAATAAATTTATTACTTTTTTAAATGATTAATTTTTTTTTTGTACTGATTGTATGGAACAGGTTAAATAGTAAACATTCACCAAAAGGTTTTCAGTTTTAAAAACATCTCAATTGTGAAATTTATTAAAAATTAATAATTGATCCAAATAACATACTTTTCATCGGTTTTTGAATCAATAATTATGAATCATTGTTTATATGTAGCTTTGCAACATGAAGAAAATTATGATATTCTCTCAATATGATTAGATTTTTATATCAAGATATACATCTATAACAAGATTAAGAAGTTTTTCTCGAATCATTTCCAAGGTTGAATTGATACAATAAACATTTTGTGAGAAAGGTTCAATGAAGATATAATGCTAATTGTTGATTAATTTTATAAGGAACAGGCACAGTATTGTAGTGGTGTCTATGCAGATGTAGATGACACAGTATTTTAGTGGTGTCTATGTAGATGTAGATGTCACAGTATTGCAGTGGTGTCTATGTAGATGTAAATGACATGGGCACTCTGTACAAGAGGAGTTGTTGTACTCATGATAGTTATAACATTATAAAACCAATACCTGAAGTTATCAGTGATAAATGGCTTTTAGATACTAGGTTCTATTAGTTCACTTTCTCTAAGTACCAGTTCTAATATTCACTTTCTCTATATGGTTTTAAAATTTTAGGGTTTGTTACTATCACTAAGTGAATGTAAATGTTTTGTTCTAAATTTGGTAATTTGGTAAAAAATTAAGGTGTTGAAAATGATTTAAATTTATTTTTTTTATTCCAAATATGGTATTTAATCAAATTTGTTCATCATCCTGAAACTTATTTTATATAACAGTATAGTATAACAGTATAGCATAACAGTATAATATAATAGTATAGTATTGTTATAAGAATAATTTAATGACACTTTTTATCATATAATATAAAGCTGTTGTTGTTGATCTTTTTTATGATGGTAAAATGATTTTTTATGGTCTTAGTGATGATGGTAAAATAACTTTTTATGGTCTTTAATTAAAATTAGATAAAAGAACAAATTAACCAAATAATTACTAACAATACTTAATTACTAACAACAGTTAATTACTAACAACAATTAATTACTAACAATAATTAATTACTAACAACATTAGATTTAAACCAATTA